ATTATGAATGGCCACGGCATCCAAGTATCTTTCCCCTGTAGCAATAAAGATTGCATTTCATTCCAGCACGCTTTTGCGATGAGATCCTTTCTTTATGAGATGAGACCACTGCCAGGATAACTTTACAAGTATAGCTATAACTATAGTATAGTAGACATTGCCTCAGTTACTAAAGGCTAGATGCTATTGACAATGTCTACGGATCTCCTGTTGATGCAGTCTGAAATCACTAAAGCATGTACCACTTAATAGAAAGCACATTTGTCAGAGATTATTCGTAGACACCGTAGGTTTGGGATATCAGTAATAAAGACATAGTGAAATTCGTTCAAAGCATATCAAAACTTCGTATCAGAAAGCACAAACCCAAAATTATCTTGAACCTCCACAGTTGCGATATGAACATTGCAATAACACCCAGTCCAGGAAGATACACGAACCAGACTAGAAAACCAGCTCCTATGTGAGCCACAAATGCTGCACGCTCCTCATTTTTCTCCCTTGAAAACGACAGGTTATTTTCAATTTAATGTGCGAGAGACTGTTCAAAATGTATATTGTTATAACCTCAATATCAACTTCCGAATCTCCGCCAGGAACCAGAGAGCCAGTACGATTCTCACAAACAGCTGCCCGTATCCCGGCCAAGAAGAGAATACATCTATTTCGTGTAAGACATCGAAAAGGTAGATCTGAACTGCTCATTTGGCACGGTAACGGAACACTGGCTCGAATTTCACTTACGAAGTTGAAAATAAATAACAGGAAGTATACTGCAGCAAATATGCTCCAGGCAATAAAACATGAACGAAGTGAAACTGCTGTTTTTGGGTACAGCTCCCAACCCCGCGATAAAAGCAGTAACAATAACCACAAAACTTCAATCCCAGCTACTCTGAAACGAACTAGGATCATTTCATTGCACTATCAAACGTTGGCCATGTTGCTGCCAAAAGCGTACCTAAGAATTTCGCCCAGCACTCGGGCAAAAAATAAACCTTGCCCATCTAATGAAAATACATAAACATTCAAGCACTGCAAAGCAATACCCGTTGTTTTCATGACAATTATTACATTGAGCAACCTAAAAAAGTAAAAAGTAAGAATAGGAGAGTGATGAAATTACTAATCTTCAATATAAGAGGAGAGAAAAAGTACCTTAGCCTTTCAGGAGGTGCCCTGCCTTTGATAAGTTGCAGTCCATGAGACATTATCCAAAATAGAACAAGATAAGTTACAAACGTGACCACGTAGATCTCAAGCGTATCCTAAATGGAAAGTTATTTTATTGGAAATTTCTCAATAAACTTGAGTTACGGGAAAATTCTAGACTTTGTTTGAAGTGCAATGCAACAGCAGTGATAACATGCGTTTAGTAGTGTGAATTGACCCGTGAATGAAACGAATACATTTTGATATGTAACCGCAATGGGTTTTACCTGCTCATCAAAGGAAAACTGCAGCGTAAGAGAACTGGCAGCTCTGGAGCCTGGTCGACCGTTCGTAAGCCATATATCGTAGTCAAGTACAGCACTTGTATTAGACTGGACCCATTTGCAAGCAGTGTCAAGGTTACAAGCCACTAGCACTACGTACCTGAACATTTGCGCACTAGAATACATAATGTCCACTATCAGCAAATTCTTTGGCACTCCAGTGCTCGACGTAGCTGATACATCACCGTTCGGCCTTACTGTGAATATTGTTGTCTTAGATTCCGCTGTTCTGCGTATGTGTGAATGTACACCATTAACAGAAACATTTTTTCAATTTCATTGACCTCAGCCAAAAGGAAATAGCAAAATTTAAAAAGCTCCTGCTTGAGAGCTGCCCACAGCTATGATTGCACAAAATTTTAGTTTCCAAATTATGCCTACTACAGATCAAAAGTTAGCATTAGATTTTATACTTGAGATTTGTCGAAATTTAGAGTTTTCACAGGCTCCAAACTTACGACATTATTGATCTCACAATCAGATCACTGAGAGTCAATCTGCATGAAAGAGCTAGCTCAAAAGTTTTCTTTCAGCACGAAATTTTGAGAACTGCTGACTTTCCCAACTGTTGATATACTATCCATGCAGAGAACTCTACTCGAGAACTTCACAAATTAGCGG